GCAGCAGCAGCAGCAGCAGCAGCAGCAGCAGCAGCAGCAGCAGCAGCGAAGGCGGGGGGTGGGGGCGCGGCTGTGAGCAGCAGCTGCTGCCGCGAGCAGCTGCACAACGGAGTGGAGCAGCAACGAAGCAGCAGCAACAGCAACGAAGCAGCAGCAGCAGCAGCAGCAGCAACGAAGCAGCAGCAGCAGCAATGAAGCAGCAGCAGCAGCAGCAACGAAGCCGGCAGGGCGCATTTGCGCTTTTAGGGGAATAATTAAAAATAGATTAAAATAAAATATTGAAGCACTAAATAAATAAATGAATAAATAAATAAATAAATAAATAAATAAATAAATAAAAAATAAAATAAAAAAAAATAAATAAATAAAAATAAATAAATGAGAATGTGGGGGCTCGAGAAGAAGCAAAAAGCGGCTATGGAATGAGCAGCAGCAAAGCACCAGCAGCAGCAGCAAAGCAGCAGCAGCAAAGCAGCAGAAGCAAAGCAGCAGCAGCAAAGCAGCAGCAGCAAAGCAGCAGCAGCAAAGCAGCAGCAGCAAAGCAGCAGCAAGACTGCACCAAAAAGAGCAGCAGAAGTGCAGCAAAGGAGCAGCAAAGCAGCAGCAAATATGCAGCATGACAGCAGCAAAAGAGCAGCAAAGGAGCAGCAAAAGTGCAGCAAAAAAGCAGCAAAAGAGCAGCAAATGAGCAGCAAACCAGCAGCAGCACAGCAGCAGATGAGCAGCAAAAATGCAACAAAGAAGCAGCAAAAGAGCAGCAAATGAGCAGCAAAAGAGAAGAGCAGCAAATGAGCAGCAGAGCAGCAGCAAATGAGCAGCAAAACAGCAAGAAATAAACAGCAGCAAATGAGCAGCAGAAGAGCAGCAAAAGAGCAGAAAGATAGCAGCAAAAGAGCAGCAGCAGAGCAGCAAAAGAGCAGCAGCAGGAGAGCAGCAAACGAGCAGCAGCAAATCAGCAGCAGCAGAGCATCAAAGCAGCAGCAAACCAGCGTCAAAAGAGCCGCACGCGAGCAGCAGCAAATAAGCAGCAGCAGAGCAGCAAATCAGCAGCAAATCAGCAGCAAATGCGCAGCAGCAGCAGCAAACGCGCGGCAGCAGCAGCAAACCCCCAGCAGCAGCAAATGTGCAGCAGCAGATGGAAGCGTGCAGCAGCAGCAGCAAACGCGCAACAGCAGCAGCAACTGTGCAGCAGCAGCAGCAAACGCGCAACAGCAGCAGCAATTGTGCAACAGCAGCAGCAACTGTGCAACAGCAGCAGCAAACGCGCAACAGCAGCAACTGCTGCTGCTGCGTAGCAACTGCTTCTGCTGCCGCGCAGCAACTGCTGCTGCTGCTGCTGCTGCTGCTGCTGCCGCGCAGCAACTGCTGCTGCTGCTGCTGCTGCTGCTGCTGCTGCTGGCGGACCTGTGGGCCAGAAGACGAGGAGTCCAAGAGCAGCGACGCAGGAGTTGGCGAAAAGCAGAAACAGCAAATAGCTGCCTTTGGGAGCAGCAGCAAAAACGGGGTTTGCTTCGAGTGCTGCACTTGAAGAAATAAAAAGATAAATGTGGAAAAGAAAAGGCAAAGAAAAAGGCCCCACAAAGAGAGCAGCAGACAGCAGCCGCCACAGCTGCAGCCGCAGCAGCAGCAGCTGCCAGTCCAGCAGCAGCAGCCGCGGCGGCAGCAAACCCGTCGAGGCCAGCAGCGCCAGCAGCAAACTTGCTGCTGCTGCAGCACGAGTCACTGCTGGCAAAGATCTCCACCACAACTCCGGGCCGCGCTCCAGGCCCCGCAGCCCGCCTACTCCCGCCTCCATCACAAACCCTAAACCCTAAACCCTAAACCCTAACCCGTGCCTTTCGCCCGCTGCGCGAGGGCTGCTTCCGCCGCTCTTTGCGCTTTTCTTTATTTATTTGTTTGTTTGTTTATTTTTTTATTTATTTAATTCATTTATTTGTTTATTTGTTTGTTTGTTTGGGTTTGTTTGCTTCTGTCCTTCCGCTGCAGCGGGAAAGTCCAGCAGCAGCAACTTCACCCCAAATCCGGCTGTCTTGCTCCCCCCAGCACCCCCACAGGCCGCGCGCCCGAGGGTTTAGGGTTTACCGCGAGGGTTTAGGGTTTAGGGTTTACGGCTTTGCACCTTTTCGCGCAGTCTCGCCTTCTTTTCAGGTGTACAGACACCCCAACTGCAGCAGACGCCGCTGGCCCAGCATGCGCCGCGGGCCTGAGCGGCAGCGGCGCCGCCGCCGGGCTCCGCTGCTTCCAATTTTTAATTCTTTTTCTTTTTTTTAATCCTTAAAGTCATTTATTTCAATTTAAAAACACAATTTGGGCTTTTAAACCGCCAAAAACGCGCACAAAGCCCCCGCGCGGGCAGCCGCCTCCCGCCGCCAGCCGCCGCCATCAATCCTCTCCCCGCTTGTTTTCGCCAATTTTTACTCCTTTTTGTTCCTTTTTTCGCCAATTCTGCAATTTAAATTCATTTATTTGACTTTTCCGCCTTTATTTTCCGCTTTTCGGC